TGGAGCTTTATTTTTAACAACTTCAGAAAAGCGATTTAACTCATCTACAAAAACCTTACCAATATCAGGATCTGTCTTGATGTTTTGTATTGGCTATTTCTTCTAGCTCAGGTTCGGTGAAGATTTTTTTATTATGGAATTTTCAATATCAATTATAAATGAATGTAATAACCTATTAAAAAGAATATAGTAGACCTTTGAGGATAATCTTGATAAGACATAGACATGTAACTTACAGTTCAGGAGAACTATCATTTTCACTAGCATTAGAGTATAAATCATTTCCTACATAATGTCCTGAACATTCAGATTGGCAAATATGGTTTCTATTACTGTTTTACCATTAAAGTATTTCTAATAAATACAAAAAAAAAAAAAGATATTTCTTAAGAAAGTGTTCAATAACTATAATTCTTTTTAAATAACTAGAGTGACAACAACACCACCATTCTTATGATAAACACTTACTCTTCACTTTATCGCATCATTATCTTTTCTTCTTTTTTGTTGACAAGGCATTGTGTTAAAAAAAGAATTGTTATTTGATCGACAAACGCGTACACATTAATTGACGATCCGTATATAATGCTTCACCCCCCTTAAACTTAAAGAAATTGATTGGATAATTTATAATATGCTGATCATTATTAAAATTTTATATTGCTTTCAAGACAATAAAATAAATAGATTCTTAAAATATTTTTTATTTGCAATTGGTAATAAATAATTCAGCAAAAACATTAGGGAAAACTCTTGCTATAATTACAATGTAATAAAGTACGCCTATAGTTAGAGACAGCATATCCTATAAAATGAACATATCATTTACTCACTAATTGTGATATATTAAATCATTACATAATTCTTCTCTATTGAATATATTAAATAAAATTATAAATTATAAACCAATTAATGAAAGACGTGTTACGTATTACCTATTCTGTATTGGTTTTAATAGGGTAAAATCAATAGTCACAAGGCGTGAGATCAAAAAAATTTCTTATTTAAAAAATCTGTTGAAAAACTTTTTTAAACCATAAATTTTGAATAATAAATTTTAATTGAAAAAAAAAAATATATTGTTAATTAGTGGTGAAAAAGTGCAAATTCTGCAGGCAAATTTGCCTGCGATGACCTACATTGAAGGGATAGGGCCCAGTACTAGGCCATAAACCACATAATTAGCAACACTTTAGGGACAGCAAGCAAAAATCACTGACAGAAAATGTGAATTAGATCTAAAATTGGTCGAGTGCTGATTATTTTTCTATTTGCGACAGAATTTTTTTAAAAAATATATTAGTAATGGGAGAGAGAAGTTGATACCTCACACAAGATTCTGAAAACCCTGGTCATTTGATACTAGAAAGTTTTTCTGATGAATTACTCAATTAATAGACAATTTATTGTGATTTTCCATTAGATAATATAATTGGTGGGATCGGTTTAAATGAATGAATATTAAAGGTGGGAACTGAAATTAGCCGCAATTCAATTTTCATAATCCGCAGTCGCAACCGCAATTCAATTTTTATATGCCGCAACTTGTCACAATTAATTGAGGAACCATCTTTAATGTAAATATTCAAGATCTATTACCAATTTTTTCAAAATTACAACTTTACTAAAAAAATTTATTATGATTCTAATTAATTTTTAATTAATAATTTTACATTTACAACTTTATTATTTTTTAAATAAATTTAGATTTCTCATTGAAAAAATCTTGTTTGTTTATTAGGAACGCCTTGATAAACATACAGTGCATGAATATTTTTCTTTTCTTTTATTAGCTACTATTGGAAATTTATTATAACAATAAGAGTGAGATGCATTCATAGAGTCATAGTTTACCAACTATTTGGACTGCGCCAAAAGACGTTTAGCATTTATTTATTTATTTTACTTTTTTTGATATTGATGAATATTCCGAATTACTAATACCAAGGCTCCGAACGAATCAATGAAATTCAAATCACCTAACTTTTTATTCATTTCATTCGAAATTGTGTTTTGATTCGAATCTAATTCAAGTACATGCCATATGAATTCTGTAAAAGAGTTGCCATCGGAAATAAATGGTTTCGAAAGTCAAATATATATATATTTGCCTAGTGCAATAATTGTATTTGGTTTTTCCATTTACAACCGTGAAATGGCACTTTTGAAGACATTGCACTGTGCCTGCTGAAGAAGTTATTGAAGAGGTACAATGCAGTCATCATCATTTATCATTGCTATATTTATTATTTAAATTTAAAAAAATGAATTGTGCAACTGTTTAAATTATATTATTAATATGGTGCGCGAAGCCTTTAACCACCATTTTTTCACGTGATTTTTAAACCCATTTCTGTAAAAAATAACCCTGTTATTGCATACATCGAGACTCAAACTTTATTGTAACAGAAAAATATTGTTGGTTGCTGTGTTCTATTCTTTTTAGTACATGTATGCATTTTACTTGGTGGGAAATTTTCAATATACAATTTTTTTGTTATACAAATAGCAGTAATTTAATTTTCACACCTAAAAAAAAAAATTTTGTAACACCCAATTTGTTGCTTTTTTAATTTATATTGTAATCATGAAAACTACAAGTCCATCGTTATTTATTATAATATGGTATCAAGCATTATTTCTTTTTACAGGCTTGATACAATCCCTTGGTTCTCAGCATTTATATTACCAAAAAGCAACAACTGGTTCTAGGTATTTGGATAGATAACAAATTTTCTTTAGAATTTCATTTATTTGTTTTTGTGATTTAAGAATAATATTTCTTTTTGTTTTGTACAGTTTTCTTACAAATTTGATGATGTACGCTGGGATGGCGGCTGTTGGCTTGCTTATTTTGCCTGATTGGCTTGAAAACAGATCAAAACATTTAGCTGGAACAGGGATTGGCTTGGTGGATTTTAAAAAATCACAGGTTTATTTTTATTTTTATTTTATATAATGAAAGAGAAATATTTGTATTGTTTTTATTGTATTAATTTATTACTACTTTTTTCAGTTAACAGAAAAAGATAAAAAAACTAATAAAGATTATCAACCTTTAACAAATAACTTGGATGAAAGACTTGATGATGATGATGTTGATGATGATGATGGCGATGATGACATTACTAATAATGACAAAGATAATGGCAATAATACAACAACCAATGATTGTGAAGACGATGATGATAATTATGAAAATCCGCAGAGACAAAGTGATTCATTAAATATAATAGAAAATTTATCAATGAAGCCTAGAGAATACATCAATTATAAATATATTATAGCAGTAACTTTATTAGATATTATAGCAGGTTTTGTAATTACGATTGGATCTTTTCATTTAGGAAGTGGAGTGAGTATAATAATAAAAATGATTGATATTTATTTTTTTGGAGGTGAAAAAAAAGATATATATTTAATTTTTATGCTTGTCATCAAAACTTTTTTTACAAGATATCTCAAGTAATTTATAGCTCTGTGGTTATTTGGTGTGCGATTCTTTCATTCTTTTTAATTGGGAGAAAACTTACATTCATACAATCAATCTCGATAATTGGAGTAACATTTGGACTTGCTTTGAGTGCATTAGGAATCCATCAAAGCTTAGAAGTAACAGAATCTTCAACAGTTGTTGATGATAACAAAGGAATAATTTTTTTTAGAATGTTTGGGATGGTTCTTGTAGTTTCTGGAACATTTGGTTATGCATGTGTTTATGTTGTTTCAGATTGGATATTGAGTATGGATGTACCTGATGACATGATACCACCATCACCAGAAACCATTTGTTTTCTTGTAGGAAGTTTTGGATCAGGATTTTCAATATTATATATAATAATTTACACAATTCCAAACTGGGATATTTTAATAACACAAGAGATGGCAAAGCTGAGTCAACATAATAGCACATCTACAATAATATTTATTTATATCCTGCTAATAATAATGTCATTTGCACATAATTTGGCATATTATTGGCTGATAAAACATACAGGAAATGTTTCTACTGGATTATTGAATTCACTTAGGGCAGTTCTGGTTTTTGGATCAAGTCATTGGTTTTTTTGTCAATTGGATTCAGGACAATGTTTTAATCTTTGGAAAGGGTTAAGTACAGTTGTGGTTGTTGGATTCGTTACTTCTTTTACATTATCCGGTAAACCAAAAGACGCTAAATAAATATTAATCAAATCTAATCCAATGATGATGATAAATTTTAAAAATTTTTTTTTCTTTACTCATTTTATTTTAAAATTTGGCGATCATTCCTATTTTGTTATAGAGGTTGTACACTGGATATTCATTCTTTTTTTTATATATACAACATTTGGTGGGATTTGAATATTCATTGTTAATAAAAATTTTAAATTACATTTTATCAATTTTATCAAAAAAAATTTTTTTTTTCAAAAAACAATTTTTTAAATAAAAGTGGATTAAGTTTTGTTCTTTTTTGAGGTCATCGTATTTCCAGTCGACTAAATAATCTCTCACTTGGAGTGAATGTTGCAGATGCACACAAGTATTTAATAGCCAACTTTGACAAAACAGAGAGAATCTATTTTTATAGTGTTTCCACCACAAGAATAGATCATCTTTCCAATCTATTCTTCTAGTAATAGACATTCATCAACCTCTATTTTGTTACAATTAAATAATAATAAAAATTCGTTAGATTTGAAAACCCTATAATGTGTAACACATATATAAACAGTATATACACTGCCAGGAAAAAGTAATCACTATGCAAGCTTAGGTTTTAAAACGAATACGCATGGAAATTTTCTACTATTCAATTAATTTTTTTTTAATAATGATCATTAAAAACGTAAATGAAACTGAAAAATCAATATCCTGGTAGTCATCAATTATTAGATATACGTGCTTCAATTCTCCTTGGCTTGCCTTTGATTAATTTATTATAAATTTATTTTTTGAGGATTCTTCTTGCAATACATTTTTAGGGATTTCATACCAAAGATGCTCAAGGTCTAGCGATTGAGAAAACCTAAATATTCACTCGAAATAATTCGATTAACTCTTCATTTTATTCTAAAAAATTTTATAATTATTAATCTTCAATCTTTTTAATCTTAATTTTTACTTTTAATTATATTTTTCAAGCCAATATTGAAAACTTGGACTATTTATTGATATAACTTTTATGTATTATTATTAGTACACGAAAATTTGAGAAATACAAAACAATTGAAAAAAATCCTGTAACATTTCACGATTTTAATTGAAATTTTAATGTGCATGCTTGCATATTCATTAGAACTTAAGCCACACAATATTATTTATTATCATGTAAAATTTTGTGTAATTAATAAAAAACGAGGTTTTGATCTTTCCTTCCAGTCAATGCATTCTGTTCGGATGACATATATATATATAAAAGGAAATATTATATTTAATAAAAATCTGAATTCTCTCCTTAAATAAAATATTAGTCATTTGATTATTTGAAAAATACTAATACTAATCCAAAAAAAGTATGTAATTTACCTTAAATTTTTGTTTTCGTCATCTCTCAAAAGGTTGTCTTAACAAAGTTTGCAGAGACTTCATTGAAACTCGGTTCAGGTCAGGTTCAGTACACTAAAGTAGAAGTTCAGCCAAATTCGGTTCAAGGTTAATGAACACGTTGAGGTTCATTAATTAACCAACATTGGCCCTAAAAATTTGCTTATTCACTAAAGAAAATTACGTTATTAATCGTCACTAATCAACCAACGTTGATCCCAAATCTTTGCTTACTCACTAAAGCAAATAAAACGTAGCTTGTTATCAAGGCACTACACTTGCTGCCTTTTATTTTTTTAAAAAGTTTGTTAAGGATTAATTTTATTTAAAATAACGATTCCGTTATAGAATTTTATTTTATTAGAATGTTAACTGTCCATCTGTTCTTTCAAGCGAAAACCCAAAGTTATTCCAAAATTTTTAAGTTCTCTAATAATAATAAGGTTTATCATTGATTTTCTCACAGCCATTGTTGTTTAAATTGGCGGAATTGGCGTCTTTAACCAATTTGTAAATTATCTGCAGACTTTTTTACACTGGACATCGAACTCATGGGTTCGGTTCATAGTTCAAATATTGATATCGTTTAGGTTCTAAAAGTGGTATGATACCCTAATTTTGGGTAAAAAGGAACGAATATCATTACCAAAATGACCGTAATTTTGCCATATTAGAGAGATTTTCTTAATTAGCCAATAAGATCTTTGTGTAGATGTTAGGATAACCTATCACTATATATTATTATGTATATAAATTTCCAGAGTCTCGATATGAGTTTGTTCAAGTTCAGAGTTCGATTGGACTTGAACCGAACCGAACCGAACTATTTTCTATAAACTAAAATTTTCTTTATCTTATTTTTTGTTACACGATCTAATATCGATTATCAATCGATTATCTATCTAATTAATATTCTACGTTATTATTATAAAAAAAATGTTATCGTAAAATTTATTTTGTACTACAATGCAAATGGTGATATTTTTTTTTATTTTTTTATTCCTCATCAAAAGATAACTAATTATAATGATATAAATAATTCCACTTTTTTTGATCCGTTAATTAACTGAACTCACACTATTCATAAAATTATAAAAAAAAAACTCTTTCTTTATATTTTTATATTTTTATAAAAGTTATAATTTAATATCTTATTTCCTTTTTATAAAGAAATCTCGTTAAAAAATTAAAGTTTCTTTTTAATTTTAATTTCATTAGGAAAAAACAATCGCATATATATATAGTAATAACATGTGTAGTACACTAAATAAATCGATAAAATTTATCAAATTATTTTTTAAAGGAAATCATTCATATACACATCCAACAATTCAAAAAAACACACACTCATATTTCAATAAAATCAATTCTCCCATATCTTTTACTTCTTCAATCTCCTTTCCTCGTACTTCTACAGTTCCTTCCTACCAGCCATATTCATTCTTTAGCCAAGCTTCTCCTTTCACAAATAATGGTTCTTCATCTTTTTTCCATAATACAGCAACAACAACAACAACAACAGCAACAGCAACATTTTCCCCATTCTCACCATTTTTTCTGTTTCCAAGGGTAGCTTGTCGTTCATTTCACTCATATAGTTCATCAAGTTTCAGAATATCAAGTCGTGTCTTTACGCCTCATTCTTCTAAACCAAAGAATTTTTTTGAAGCCACAAAAAATACTCCGGCACCTTATACAATCTTGGACTTTTTTGATAAACCTTTTTCCACCACACATAGCCCATTTGTTTTTTCTCATGGCGCTTCCGGTATTCCAAAACATTCAGAGAAGTTAGTTTCAACTATACCTAATGCACCATACTTTAGTATTGGTTGTGGTGAAGATAGCTTCTTCAGAAGATATGATTATCCTTTTTGAGTCATAAACTTTTTTTAATTTCCTGTTTTTTGAATTATTTACAGTTGTAGATTCATCATTATATTCTAGAAAATTGATGCATTATTCATGGACAGAAATTGAAAAATATCATAATAATTTTGAAAAAGATCAATTTTACAACTATGATAATTTTCAACCTGTTAATATTATGCAAGCAAGTTATGAAAAAACTTTACGTGATTGTACAATGGAGGTAAAGAGCTTATAATAATGATGATGATAATGATAATTATCTATCTACTTGTACATAGATTAATATATTATAAATACCACTATTAATTTATTAAATAAAAAGGGAATAATTGGTTCATCAACCGCTTTGATAGCTATTCTATGTAAAGATGAGCTTCGAATTGCAAACCTTGGCGATTGTGGTATTGGTGTTATACGTCAAAACGCATTTATATTTTGTAACGAAGAGCAACAAAATTCGTTTAATTATCCATATCAATTAGGAAGTGGTTCTCCTAATACTCCAAAAAAAGATGCTCAAACTTTCAACATTAAAATTCAACATGGTGATATTGTAGTAATGGGTTCAGACGGGCTGTTCGACAATCTTTTTGAGGATGATATATTAGATGAAATTGTTCGATTTAGTTCAAAACAAGGTGGTTTAAAAGTTGAACCACAAATAATAAGTGATGCCCTCGCTTGGCGTGCAAAAGAAGCCAGTGAAGACATCAATCATGAAAGTCCATTTGAAAGCCGTGCTACACAAGAAGGATTGTATTATAGGGGTGGAAAAAAAGATGATATAACTGTTCTCATAGCGGTCATAACAGACTCAAATAATACCTCAAACAATCAATAAAATACACACTCATCACTTTTATTAATAACAATAAATAATAATAATCATCATATAACTATATCAATCAATTATTTATTTGTTTCATTAATTTATATTATAGAAAAAAATTATTCCATAATCTTATTATATTGTAAATAGCTATATTATATATATATATTTATATTTATACATTTATATTTTTATATATTTATATTTATAAACATTTTACACAAAGATCTAAAGATCAATTAATATAGATATATAAATATGCACATTATACATACACATACAGTATATTTCTTATTAAATTATGAAAATCACTTCAAATACTTTTTATTAGATTGCATATGCTTTTATAAAATAATTTATTTAATTATGCATTTATTTTTATTTTTATTACTTTTAATTAAATTATCAATTTTACAAAAAAGAAATCAAATTATGATTTACATCTAATTGATCATTTATTGTTATATTATTTAAATATTGAATAATGAGTTATTACCAGAATCCTTCGAAATAATTTTACCCACCAATAAACCATTAATCAAAGCGACAACACCACTATCATTACCAGTATTCGTTTCAACGAATCTTCTTATAATTAAATTCTCGCTACAATGAATTTTTAAAATTTTGGCTTTACATATAGAAAAACATAAAATTCGTTGAAATGCGATTAGTAATTTTTATATATTATAAATGTAATTTTCTTTGAAATCTATGTGAAATTCAAATTACCAATCAGAATTTCATATCCAAACACCTCACCCCAAAATTTTAATTATAGATTTCCCCATAGTTTCGTTGAAATGAGCAAAGTTTGACTGTATGTCCAAGGAATTAGAAGTATTATTCTTAATAACCTATGAATAAAAACGACGGAAACGCGTCAATTTTTGGGATTAACATACCGTTACATTCCACCCTCAAAAAATCGATTCAAACCCTTCAAGGGTGCGTGTAACATTATTATCCAATCAAGCTTTGAGATAGTTTCTGAATTCATACCAGTTACACAACTGCTTGCCGGTAAAAACTGGCTGGAACTATGCCAATCTTTAACCTGTAAACTTGTTTAATGTTACTAAAGGTTGTAAACTATTACGTCAAAACGCTGCCATTAAGTCAAAAATAACAAAGTAAAATTGCTTAAAGGCTAACAAAACATAAAAAAACTTATAAATGTATATTCCAAGGTCTTTTTATATAAATATATATATTTTTTTGTGCATTCCAATCTCTCCTTTGTTTCATCAGTTGTTCCCGAAGAGCCAAGTTTTTCTTTTGCTGAATACAAATTCAGTTCCTACATACTCATTTATAACGTGATACATGATCGGGATAGATAAACAAACCATCGATGAGAGGTATTCGGTACTTTATATTCCAAGGTCAACTAGTTTTAGTGTAATTATTATCAAATGAGAATTTTACGCAAAAGCTTTTTATTATCAAATTACTGTGTGTAAATAATTATGGAAGTAGTGATCAACGAAAATTTCATTGAGGAAAATAAAACTATAGATAGAATCATTATTTTTATTAAATAAAATTAATCGCTAATAAACAAACCCATTTCTTTATTTTCTTTGTTTAGCGCGCCTTGATAAAATCAACAAGTGTAGTTAGTGACTTAGTAAAAAGCCGCATTTATTTGCTTTAGTAATCAAGCAAGCAAGGTTAGGGCTAACATTAGTTAACTAGTGAGTGTTAACAACGATTGGTAACGTAATTTACTTTAGTGAGCAAGCAAAGGTCTGGGCTAAAATTGGTTAACTAGTGAGCGTTAGCAATAGTGTTGTCAAAAGATTAATTGAAAATACTGGTAATCGCAAATGTAAGGCTGTTAAACAAGCTAATTAAGTTATTTTGCAAATAAACCAAAGTGAGATTGCAATGTAAACGACTGAAACAAATTGATCACAAGTAAATAAAAGGAACTTTATGGCATTGCAAAAGGGTCGTCTTTATTTATTTACAGTCATTTGGTAGCATTAAGTGCGCTCGCAGATTCGTCTAGATGCAGTAGTCGAGAACTAAAGTAAGTCGTAAGCTAATTATTTGACAAGCATCAAGTTATTTGCAATTAATTGACAAGGGTAACCCAAAAGTTAAGCCATAATTAACCGAAATGATACCATCATTTAATGGGAATCAAAAAATTGTAAAAAGTTTATTATTTCAAAACATTATTATTATTATAATTTAGTTTTAAGAAACAAAATAAGAATAAAATAAAAGGATAAATAATTATAATGAATAAATTTATAGTGGAGGTTAGATTAGTCATTCATTAATTCTTTTACTATTGTTAATTAATACATTGTTAATGATAATTGATGAATAGTAATTTCCAATTAATTATGAATGAAATTTTTATTCATCTTTGTTAACATTCTCAGAGAAAATCAAGATTATTCAACGAACTATCATTACCTGTATAAATTTTAAAGCTTTTAGATTTAGCAATCTCTTCATCTAATATTCTACTTGTATGATATGCATCTGGATGTGATTTGTGTGCTTGTTGCGAATCACCATCACCAGTAGTAGTATTATTACTATTGTTATCATTATTATTTTTAATAATTTCGCTATTTTTATCATAAGCAAAAACATAAATCTCTCTACTGGTTGGTCTCTTTGATGGATCCACATCCCAACACCTCTGCATCATTTCTGCATAATCATCAGGCATTTCAGGTAATATTGGTGGTCGTAAACCTTCACATATATCAAAAATTAAACAATGATTGTGAGCCCTATCATCAAATGGTGGATGGCCTGCAAATATTTCCCACATTAACATCCCAACATTATAGATATCTGATTCTTTGGTGTTCTTTTTGCCTCTAAATAGCTCAGGTGCAAGATATGATACAATTCCATAGATTTTATTTGATAACTTTTCATCAACTGGTCCACATAATCCTAAATCTGTAATATAACAACTACCTCCTTCCACAAGTATGTTGCCACTATGTAAATCACAATGGATTAAATCTTTTTCGTGTATACAATATAATGCATAACATAAATCCATAAAGATTGTGATTCTGTCTTTTAATGTTAAATTTAAGTGATTTTTTTGCAAATAATCCCTTAAATTTCCCTCTCGAGCATAAGATAAAGCTATTGCATAATTTCCATCATCTGGGAATTTAGTTATACCAAAGCAAGGATTAATCATCCCTGATTTAATTTTACAATAACTCATTGCCTGTAATTAAATATAAAATCAATTAGTATTATATATAATACAGTATTGTTTAAATGACAACTACCAACCTCATCAAAAAAGTCATTTTCTGGATTACTTGAATTGTTTAAACTTTTTAATACCACATGTTGCTTTCCTAAATAACTAAATTCCATTTTATTTTCGTCATAATCAGTTATTCTTCCTCTAGTCCATGTAGCAGTAAAAATTGAACTAAATCCACCTTCAGTTAACTTTGTTACTTTTTCAAATTGCTCAAAAGGTATCCATTCTAAAATATAAGTTGGCAGAGATGATTTTGTTTGACATTGTTGAATAAAATCATCAATTATATTATTTCCAGATGTCCAAGTGGTGAAAAGACTCTGTAATTGTAATCTAATACAACTTTCACAGAATCTATCAGAGTATCTTGTTAATTTACACTTGTTACATTCTTTTGGTTTGCCTTTTTTATGTGTTGCATTCTGTAATTCAAAATCATAAATAAACTTTTCTTTACAAAATTCTTTTTCATTTCCAGAAAGCTTCTTGTTTTTTTTGACTAATGAAAAAAAATAATCTTTTATACTTTCTCTATCAGAATTAATTGTTGCATTATTAAGTATTTCATTATAAATTTTCATTACAAATTTCTTTCTTTCTGATGATAACGATGATAATAATTTAGCATACGACATTATAAAAATATAAAAATTTGAATGAATAAAGTGGAGAAAATGGGAGGTTTTTTTAAAATAAAAGAAAGAAAGGGTTGCCGTGTTACGTACGGTTCAATGAATAATAAATGTAATTTTATTTTGATTTTGACCATTTGAGGGATAGTGGATGATCTGGATAGGAAAATTTTTTATTTTTGCAAAGGATTTTTTTTTTTAATTAAGAAAAAAAAAAGCTTGATTTTTTTTGACAATCGAAATTTGTAAATAACTTTTGATGTTTTGAGTGAAGCTTATCCTTCTATAGCGATAGACTTGAAAACAAAAAATCTAATAGATCCAATTGACATTTAATCTGGGATAAATACACGAGGAAAAGATCGGGACAAAGGATCTTTTGTTAAATTTATTAAATTCGTGAACAATTTCCCTTTGCATGTGTGATTTTTCTTAAATAAATAATAAATTTTTTGTTCAACGCAACAAATAAATGATATAATAATAATATGACTGGCTAATGTTGATGCTTTGAATGAATATATAAATAACTCGTATTTGAATGTAACGTGTAAAGCCAAATCATACATAGAATGCCATTTCAGCACTACGTATTTTTGATCCTCGAATTCGAATGCACCGTTTTTTTTTGGTCCACGAGTGAGGGTACCGGGTCTGTTTATATCTTTTTGTTGTAATTTATTAGACTACACGATCAATGCATCATTTGGCCATGAAATAGCCTATTTTTATTAAAGATTACATCATTGATCATGAATACATGATAGGATGCCGAGATTCTTCGCATCTAGTGCTGATTTTGATGTTCCGAACGAATATATATATATATATGTATGTGATTGAGTTATGTGATTTTATAATACTATGACACCAAAATATCATCGCGCTATAATGCTAATCTGCATTTCACGAAACTTACTGTTACGTTTTCGTTTAAAACCTTGTTTTTCTTTGAGAGAATTGAATGGCATGTAACAAATAATTTTTTCGTAAGAACAAAAAATACATGTAACAATTCACAAATAAAGAAATATTAATATCAACTAGTGAGTGTTAACAACAGTTAGTAACGTAATATGATTTAGTGAATAGACAAAAGTTAGGACCAACGCCGGTTAACT